GTTTGCGGGCATTCAGACTGTAAAGTAAGCGTTTTTAGTAACGCATCAATTCAGTTGGTTTACTAAATGTAATCTAAGTTAAAGGGACTGTGACAGTTGAAATGACGATACCATCAATAGTGAAAATAATGGAATAGTAGGGTTAAGGGAAAAAATGTAGAAATGATGGTTGTTGCCTTTACAGTGGCTTCAGTACGCAAAGTATGAATAACGTGCCTTTACAGCACGTTATTCATACTTTGTATACTGCGGCCTGTGAAGTCTTCCCATGATTAAAGCTGTGCATGCTGCTAAGCATATACAATGGGTTCGATTGGGCAATCGTTTCGCTTTCTGCCTCGGGCAATGTCCTAATAATGGGTTGGAGTTTTGAAGAATATCCTCTTTCCTTTGTTAGCCTCCACTACGAAGACTACCTCGCTCCCTTTTTTAGAGAAAGGCCTTCGACTTTTTGGTAATTTCAGGCAATTAATACGCTGTACAATCTCCATAAATGCCCAAAAACGTTTGATCCTCAATCACCAATGGATCACTGGCTGCGACGCCATGGTTTCGCTTCACTCCAGAAGTTAGAGGAACGTCTAGCAGATTCAGACAAGCCAATGGAGTTCGTTGCAGACGTGCCGGGTTTCAAGTAAGTTGCCAAGGGATTTTTCAATCCTCATGTTAAATACTCGGAGGCACAGTCCGCAATTAGTTCGTAGAAACAGTCCCTTTTATGAAGGAGGTGGCTAGGCCCGCAACCGTCGGGGTGATGCCTTTTGCGTGGTGAGGGCGTGAAGCTTATAACTTGCATCGAGACACTCCCACTATTGCAATGCACTGCTGTTCTCAACTTGCTCGTCTCCATGCCCTTCGCACCAGTGTTTTTTTTTCAAGGGATGAGTAGTCCATCACCCAGAAAAGGCGACCGATGAGTTCAGTGTCAGTCGGGAATTTTGTTCTTTTTTTTTCTTCACTAGCCGTCCATTTCCAGTTTAACTTTCATTTTCGAGTACAACAACCACATAATGTTGGTCGCGGGGTGGGCTTTTGAGTAAATTTTAGTTGGGGTGATGCTGATATAGTTTGCTTTGAACGAGATGTGGGTTGCTAAGACACGAAGCGCTTGCTTTTCGCAACACAATAATTTTTCGCTGCGGAAGCCCCAAATCCAATCATTATCAGGGTGGATCCGGGATTCCCACAGCGGAAAAGTTTTGCGTTGCGAAAAGTAAAACTGTTGCTTTTTGGCCTAGCGACCCACACCAGTTTGAATTCAAGTTGCACCCAAGAGTACACTTGTTTATGATCGTTACGGCTTGTGTGTTGTAGTTTCGAGGCGGTCATCGACCCTGAGGATAAGTGGGGTGTTGAAGACAAGTTATCACAGATCAACACACTTCAACAATTGGAGAACATCGCTAGCCATGGATTCATAACAGTAAGTTTCTGTTTACTTTTGAAGTTGTATTTGGCAAGGAAATAGTATGTGTATTGCAGTCAAACTTCGACTGCTGCTGTTCTGAATTTGATTGTGCTATTCACAAAGAACTAGATTGTCCTTTAAAACCTCGGATTATAAATTTTTACGGTTATACATGGGTAGAGAGTAGGGTTAGCAATACCAAGAAGGCGGGTGCTTTGTTTGCTCAGGGTTGTGTTAAAATCTCAAAACGGAGAAGTAAATGATTCCCAGC